AATTAAGGAAGATAATAACTAGAGTTAATTGATTAAGAATAAAGAATTGAAAAGGTTAATTACTAACTAAAAACAAATAACACTATCGCTAAATAAATGAATAATAATAATAAAAATAATATATAAAAAAAAAAAGTTCGATTGGTGCCCCGGAGCCCTTCACACCGTATGCGGATACTGCAGCACTCTGACCTCCGACCCTCACGGAATAATTTCCACGTTTCACACCGTATGCAAATACTGCGGCATATTAACCTCCGACCCTCACGTGTCTTCGGAGTTACTTTCATATCTCACAATATGTAAAATTTATCTATATAAGCAGCGCAAGCTGCCTCAATAAAAAGATAACTTTCAGAGTTCAAACAAAGACTCTCATAAAATTCAGTGTTGGGAACCAACTTTGAAATTCGAGTAGAAGTTTGGTAGTATAAGTTCACCATTGTTAAATATCGTTATTGTTAAACCTCGCCTCCGATATAATCAAATTCCGATCAATTTAACCAATAACGCGATAGTCTTATAGATAAACCCAGATCCCTATTGTTAAATCAATAACCAATCGTTAAGAAGACCAAATCACGTGCCACGTGATAAGAATTATTATTAAAAGAAAACGAAGAGTAGAAAAGGAAAACTACTAGAATCAAAGGACAAGAAAGAAACCACACTTGCCTAAAGAAATCCTCTCTACAATCCTAAAACCCGGACCAAATCCTCTATGACCTCTTTCAGCCTTCCACTTAGGGTTGATTGTTGGATTTATAGTATTGTTTGTTGATTAAACCCGAACCCTGATGTAACCTAACCTCCGGTCGAGTTCTGACCAGAACCTGGTTCACACCTTTTCACCGGTTTGAGTTCGATTAGCTCGGAGATCACGGGACCAACGACTTTACTCCAGTGTAACTAAACATGAAGTTTATTTGTGAAATGGCCTTTAATCCTCATAACGTTTTCTTACGAAATTTTACCATTGCTACAAATACAGAAATTAAAAACTTATTGAATGAGATGTGTCCTAGGAACAATGATAATAGTTGTAGTTACGTGAATTTACTATGTAAAATAAACTCAACGTGTTCGAATTGAAGTCGAAATCACTCTTTTGAGCAAAGTTTTAATGACCTTATTCTTAATTAATAAAAATATTTTGTTTAAAAATATTTTTTTTTTAATAATAATACAATAAAATATAAGTTATGTTAAAATTTTAAAAGTAGATTATAAAAATTTTGTCTAAATTTTCAAGCAAATTTGTTTAGAAGTTATAATAAAGTTTGTTACTATTCATTCTGTATGTATTAATATTATTTAAATACAAGAGTATTGCTAATTTTAACCGGGGGATTTTCCCTGTATGATATTAGCCAATAAATTTGCAGGATCAGGTGTAAAAAAATGCCGATATCTCTAATAAAAAAAATTCCTTGCTAAATTTTGCATATACTAATGCCTAGATAAAATCTCAGGCCACACCCCAACCCTAAAGTAAAAGAAAAGAGTTTTTTTAAAATACGATTTATTGGCTAATATCATATCTAATATAGGAGGGGGGGGGGGGGAATCCCCCCGGTTAAACGTAGTTATTTTCTAAATACAATATTAATTATTATTTTAATTGTATACGTAAAATGGTTATTTAATTATTAAAATGAAAAATTTAGTTAGGTTTGCGATTTGTAATACGGTATTTGAAATTTGCATATCATGAAATTTTTTATTCAGTTACGTATATAAAACATATGACCATAAACCTTTGTACAACTTACAGTATTAATTTACTCAAATTACAACTTATCTGTCTGTCACCTCAGCATCTGAAGTGCAGTATCTGTAATCTGACACATTGAGGACAACATCATTCAATAGATGAAACGTATTAATTAAATTATCTGCAAGGCAAACACTGAATTTTCTCGAGTTAGTAATTAAGTTTTTCAATTGTTTATTGTTAATGAATTAACTCTAGTTATTATCTTCGTTGATTGTATGGAGGGTTAATACAGTATAAATAATAAATAAAAACACAAAAGTGAAATGAATAGCATGTTTTATAAAGCGTGGTTTAAACCCAGGATTTGTATGTGCTCCAGAACATTGTTCGTGCGAGTTTCAAAGCACAAACTAACTAGTTAAGCGGGATAATATACTTTAGGTTAGGTACGTACGTACAATACGGTACATTTTTTTTATTTTTATTTTTTAATATCAAATTTGGGTACGGTTCATTTTCTTAAATTATTTCTACCTTTTTTTCTGTATCGTATACTTTTTTTTTTTTTTTTTATCGTGTTTACTTTTTTTTGCGTACCTAACATTAGAATCTATGAATAAATTACAGATAAATCTAACAAATCGAACAAGCATAGTAATCTTTGGTTTTATATACTAGTGATTTGAATTGAATTTTTAATACGTAGAGAAACTTGGAAATTAATATATTTTTCTGTACCATACCAGAAAAGTATAGATTTATACGTAACACTATATCATATTCTTAAAGTTAACTATATAAACACTAAATGAATAATGTCGTCTGTTCATCTTTCATTTCAACATTACGAAATTGCAATGCAGCAATAGCGGTATATAATTGGAATTAAGTATTCATAATGAATGCAAATTTAGAATTCCAACAAATTAAATCGATATTATTTCCAAAAATATTTTATATGCATGATTATATTAAAAGAATTATTGATGTTTAATAATAATAGGTTAATTTTTATGCATAATGAAAAGCTTTGTTGATAAAACGAAACTGTAGATGCACATACACAAAGAATGACACAAATTATCATAAATGAACCAAAAAAAAATGTTTAATATTAGTTACTGTGATTCTATAATTAAATATAGTAAAGGACATAAATACACAAGTATTAATTGCGTATATCATTTTTTCAATCTTTTAACTTTTGCTTTTTTTGTTATTTGCTCAAATATTTTTTATGGTAGCTAATTAAAAATGCGTTTATTCCTCACATCTTTTTTACTTTTAACTACATCTATAACTTTCAGTGCAGCAGATTATTCTGTTAATTCGCCGAATGCAGGAGTCGTATTAAACCAAGGCGATGTACTTTCATGTTCTTGGACAGTTAACTCAGAAACTGATAAAAGTATCTATGTAAATTTAACACATGGAGATCCTCAAAATTTACAACAAGTTATGGTATTATGTTCAAATCTTGATCCAAAAGTCGGAACGTGTAATTATACCGTACCCAATAATCTTAATTCGGGACGTGATTATGCTGTGATGGTCGGAAATGATCCCAACCACATAGGGATTTCGAGCTATTGTTTGTACAGATTTGATGCTATGTATATATATTTTAGTAAAGAGGTCTTGTAATAACAACTGAATATTTCTTTATACGTATATGTAATAATGCAGTCGCCATAAATTGTATTGGACCCCTTCCACCACCATCAGGATGTCCAAACTTTGTGCGTAATTTTCTTTAATAACAAATTATATAACTATCATTCCTTCATTATTTTGTAATAATAGATTTCTTAAATACTACAGGGAGGTCATGACTGTCCTCAATCATTACCATGTTGCAGTGCTGGCGGTTTCTGCGGAGGTAAATTAATTGCTGTACTTTTCTTATTGTATCATTATTTAATAGTTCCGATATTATAAATGATTTACAGCCACAGATGAACATTGCGGAACTGGTTGTGATCCAACACATAGTTTCAGTGGTCAGTGTAGTAAACCTGATCAATCATCTCCTCCTACAACTAGTGCTATCCCTTCTCCAACCGATAACACTTGTGGTGATGTTAAATGTACGGCAGATTTTCCATGTTGTAGTGCATTCAAGTTTTGTGGTAAGCTAAAATTTAAACTTTATAAAATATATAAATAAATAAATAAAATAAAATAAAATAAAAAAAGAATTCGTCTCTCAAGATAATTTAAAATTGTAAATATGTAGGAAATGATAATGATCATTGCGGAGAAGGTTGCGTTTCATCGAGCAGCTTCAACGGCCAATGTGTCATTCCTGGACAATAATCTAGCAGATTCCTTCAAAATGTAGAGTTTATTTTTTTTTTAAAAAAAAAAAAAATTACATACACTTATTTGATTACTGGTTAATATTATACAGCCAAATTAGAAAAAAACTTATTTATTCTTAGAATATTCATATTTAATTTTTTAAAAATCGCATATGCATGTTGTTAGGATCTAAATGTATCCTCGGGCCAAAACATAGCTCATCTTTTTCTATTTTTATCTTATTTAATTATATGTTATCCATTTTTATCTTCTTTAATGAAAGCAAAGTGGCTTGTAATCGGATTAGAGAATTAGCTTAGTAAATTGAAGCGTATACACTGTAGGCTATGACAATCAAAGCGTATATGCTATCAGCTTTGTGATGGTTTGGCTGAGGGAAATGGAAATTAGAGTGTATACACAATATCATATAGAATATATACACTTTAGATAATAAAGTGTATACGCAATAATAGTAAAGTGTATATGCTATAAGGTTTTAAAAATAAAGAGAATAGTGAAATTATCCTCTGAAAATAAAATGTATAAATATAGGTCTTTTTAGCCTTTTCAAAATGAAAGTCATCACTTAAATCATATAAAATAAAAAATAATTATTACTTAATTTCCAAAACATTTAATTTTTTAAATATTAAAATTTCCTGACTTTTTAAATTCTCATTATGTTTATTAAATTATTAAAAAATAATATACATTAGGTCTTTTATTTAAACATAAAGGAAGTAAATACTGAGATTAAATAGACCTTTTTATAAGTAAATAAAAGTTATATATTAGATACTTCTGTATGTTAGTAGAATATAAACTATATTTTATAACCAAAGTTGCTTTTAACTGAGTTTATAAAATATAGTATTACTTCTAGTTTGTATTTGTATTAGCTAGCATTTAATGTTAGTATACTCTTATACTCTAATATACAATTATACTACTAGTTTAGTATTTTCTAATAATTAAATTTTTATGCATATTTTAGATAGTAACCTATTCTTTACAGAACTAAGATCTTCTAATTCTAGCTTTTATATATATTAGAAATATTTTATATCTAGTTAGAATAATTTTTTACTATAGATTTCTATTATATTTACTACTTTACTTATTATTCTAGCTTATAATATTTCTAAACAAATTTCTAATTGTTAGAAATATTAGTACTATCTAACTTTTTTAAAACTTATTTGTATAATACTTATATAACAAAACTTTTTATAATACTAATTATTATATATTGTGAGGTCCCAAATAATATGATCCAGACAAGCTGCAGTTGATCACGTTTGCCACAGATATGTCAATTAGTTGCCAAATATAGATATCCTGGCAACTAATTCAATTAATTCAATTAATTGAATTAATATTATTTCTTAAAAATATCACGAAAGGTAAATTTTATATCAAAAGAGGGTTTAATAGTTAAAGTAATTTGAATAAAAAAATTAGAAAAATAAAATTAAATGTAAAAACGAAATTTATGTAATAAAATAATTCATAATTAAAAAGTTATTATAAATAAAGAGCCTAATTGCCTCTGAGAAAATTAAGTCTCGCCTTCGCTTTATAAAATAATTAAGTCCCAAATTTATTAAATAAATCGCTCATAGTATTACACAAATTACTGCTACGCTAATATACACCTTAAGTCCTAAATTATACTTTGTTGTTCGTTTAAATTCTTGCTCACGTGACCCAAACCCTCCGGACACTCGTAACCAACCTTGTGACCCAAGGTAACCTGAGCCTTAACATCCCTCAGCCTAATCTAACACACCTCTTTCGAAAGGTTACTTACCTTTGGTTACGCGAGTTTTGGTATTGTTGAGCGACCGAGTCGCAGTCATTTCTATATCCACACTAGGTACGTATAAGCAAATCAATAATACACTGTACCGAACCCAATACCTAAGACTGTACCGTACCCAATAGGATAATACCTCTGATCTTATGATTACATATAGAGTAGCACCATGGTGCTATAGCACTATAAGAATATTCTCTTCTTTTATTATTTTTTTAATAACCCTTAAAACCCCGAAATAAGTAGATCAGTAACACATTTAATTACATTGATTAACCCCGATAAATTGATCGCTATTGATCATTTTTATCAAATTAATCACCAGATACCAGTGATGTACTGTACATGGACAGCCTTTGGACAGGATTTTGGACATTTTAAGTGAATTTACTCAAAAATTTATTAAGATAACATATTTAAATCTTTTAAGCAAAAATGTTTAGAATTAAATAAAGAATATAATCATATAATTTTTATTTTCATTACTAAAATATTTAAGGCTGTAGACAGCTTGGAACGTTGAACATGTCCAAAAAAGCTTTGGACATGCCAAAATGTACAACACTGCCCGATACCTCTGATTAATTGACTTCCGTAACCCCACGTGAATATAATCGATACAAAACGATCAAACTCTATAAAATCCGTCTATAATACCCATAAAAGTTAACTATTGGAGTTAAACCTTGTACGTAGGTAATTTACAAGTAGATTTCAGATATGGTAGTGTAGTTGTATTAGCGAAATATCAGAAATTCTAATATCTTACTATTATACATATCGGATTCTGATATATTACCGATATGTACTACGTATAGATCCGCCAAATACTAGGTGCTATAGTTGCTTACATATGTTGTGCGTCAGATTAAAACTTGGCGTCAGATTAAACCATTAGGCCAGCATTAAATGATCTGCAATAATCGGCCTTGCTAAATCCTAGTTCTCACCCTAACCCTAACTCTAATTTAGGCCAGTTTTAATCTGATGTACCCCAATTTTTACTACGTAGTCGATCTACCAATTTGAAAGCTTTTAACCTGTAGCTATGCATTGATATGTTGTTGGGTATGACTATTGGGTCAATATCAATATTAATTCATACTTAGTTACTATTCACATAATTGATAAGCTAGTAATCTTTAGAGTAGACGTCGCGGGGTTAAGAGATCACCAACAAAATGACCTCAAGTCTTGCTCAGGTAAGTTCTTTACTAGCAAAGCGCTCAATTTATTGAAAATAACAATCATGATATTTTCTATTACAGGTTCGATCTCTTTTATTAGCACAAAACACTTTTATCTAATCATTACTGTGTTAAACTCTATTACCCATCAAAATACCACATTATTACACAACACATACGCGTAAGCTAAGTATTACTACATTATTTTCTCTCGCTTTCTAAATTTTAATCACCACTTACTAACTTCGTTTACCATACCCCGAACCAGGTACACGGGATATTGGTCGATCGCACGACAGTAGATTTAATTGTTAAAAAAAGTCATAATTATCAAAAAGAGCTTTAACTTAAAAATATTATGTTATTATTAGATGTTTCGCGTCCAATAAGCATTACTTAGAAAGTATAGCAGACGATTCCCCGAAAATCATTTCACCTGACAGATCATTTCACCAACAATTTAGCCTGATTTAAGGTTAGGGTTAGGTTGTTAGCCAATTTTTATTTTTGCCAAAATGATTGTGGTGAAATGAGACATAACTCTTTTGAATTGCATTTTATCAAGATATCTCGACTAGAGTGTCCAGGATTATGATCTGAGAATTACAAAACTATGCGTGTGGCAAATATGGGCGAAAATTATACAGTTGAAAACTGATTATTAAAATTAAAGCATACGTACATTTATAATAAATAGTATTCATACCATGCTGATCAGGTATCATAAATAGGCTTACGATTACTGATCAAATAATCACTTGTATTCTTAATAATCATGCTATATCACATGTATGACTGGTTCAAATTTTATTTAACCTTATCACTCAAGTTAAATAATCACAAAAAAAAAACGCAAAATTAGAGATTTTCGTCCATATGATAAATAAAAAGTTGCCTAAACTTGTGTTTAGATTTTAAATTTATTCGACATGCGAGATTTTTTGTCTTGATATTTTATCATGAGATTACGTAATTCATTTACGCGAAATTTCATCCAAATCATTAAACGATAATATAATATATCGAATAATATCACTATGGGTCATGCGAAAAATAATAGTAATTTTTTTTTGTATTTACATAAAATAATTTTTACATGATAACATACATACTGTATAAAAATGATAAGAAAAAAAATTAATTAAAAAAAATAAATCATTGAATTTTATTTTATGATAACATTTAAATATTGCACACAAAATTACTAATAAGCTATAATTCAACTTGCAAATCCTTTAAGTTGCTATCTATATAAATAAAGATTAACATTTATTAAATAAAACACAACATTATAAGCAAAAATTATTTAAAATAATTAAATACCTTGATAAAATGAAGTATAAGGAGTAAATTTGGTTTTATAAAGTGCATCGTCATATATTGGCTTATTTGTATTTTTTAGTATTTTTTCTGATTCGGAAAGTTCTAATAAAAATTTTTCATTATTTTGCCATTCTTTAAAAATTTCTTCAATTTCTACTGCTGTTGGACGTTTTTCTCGATCTTTTTCCCAACATTTTTTCATCAAGTTTAAGTAACACTTTGGAGTGTCATCAACGATTTCTGGCCGTAAATCATTGCATATTTGTATTTGAAGTTGTGCATCAAATTTTTTATCACAATGCGCAGGCTTTCCATACAAAATTTCCCACATAATTATACCAAATGAGTAAATATCAGAAGCTATAGTATATGGTTTACCATTCAAAACTTCAGGATCTATATATGGTAATATTCCATAAACCTTATTTGACTCCATCTTTGATTCAATGTTAGCTGATATCGAAAGTCCTAAATCTGCAATATATGCATTATGCAACCTACTTTGTAAAATGTTACCACTATGTAAATCTCGATGAATAATATTTTTTGAATGAATAGTTTTAAGATCAAAAATAATGCAAACTAATAGCGTTAATTTATCATTCCATCCCATCTGTGCTACGGAATAAAGATTTTTACGCAAGGAACCCATTCTTGCATATCTCATAACAAGTATATAATCGTTCGAAACATCATGTTTTGATATCCCATAACATTCTAAAAATGATGGGTTATCATATCCAATATCACAATATGCTTTTAGCTTTTGACGTTAATTATAATTAATAAAACATTATATACTGTAATTAATTAAAAAGATAAGTTTCAAAATTAAATTACCTCTTTTACAAATTCGTCATGGTATTGTTTTGATCTATGCAGTAATTTTAATGCAACTGATCGGATATCTTCATTATCCCATATAGCATAAAATACAGTTGCAAATCCACCTTGTCCTATTTTTCTAATATTTTTAAATTCACCATAAGGAATCCAAGATAATAAATTTTTATTTTCAAGTAATACCTTTTTTAAATCGCTATCGATATCAAAATTTTCATGTAACCATTCATTTGTAACTGAAAAAGTCAAGCTGTTAAATTCTAGATAATCCAACACAAAATAAATAAATCAAATACTTGAATTACCTAATAAATTATTTCTTTCTCTAATTTAATATTAAAAGTATATTTTAAATAAATATTATGAAATAAACAAAATAGGTTTTGAATAAAATAACATCATCATATTTACTTTTGATACCAGTAATTTGCATTTTGCAAGTCCCTTGCAGTTCCAATTCCATTTCGATAGTGATTAGCTACGATAGATATTCCAAGAGAATAACCCATTTCAGCTGACTTAAGATAATGAATAAATGCCTTATGGTCATCCTTTTCAACTCCAATTCCAATTTTATAACAGACACCAAGCGCATATATTCCACTAGCATGACCCATATCAGCAGATTTTTGATAATAAATGAATGCCTTATGTTCATCCTTTTCAACTCCAATTCCTTTTTCATAACAATAACCAACATCAAATGTACCGCTAACATGACCCATATCAGCGGCTTTTTGATAATAGATGAATGCCTCATGTTCATTTTTTTCGACGTTAGTTCCGTAATAATATTTTTCACCTAGTTTGTATAATTCGTTTGCATTCATTTTTAAATGAGAGACAGCATCCATTTGTTTTTGATATCTTGAAATTTATTAAATTATGTCGGCGCTCGTACATACATGGTGCAACGTTTCATAACATATAACTTTTTATAATTTCCATAAATTACACAAATGAGCTTCGGGATTTGAATAAATTGTTTTGACCAACAACCGAATTTATAAAAATTCATTGCAAGAAGCGCACGGAAATATTAAATTGATATTTATTTTTTACTTAATGTATCTTAAATTTGAAGGAACTAATTAAAAACTTTTTCAAATAAACTTTGGTGGCCAGGCCAACTTAGAACAATACATGGATTTACTTCGTTTCGACATTCGACATAAAGTAACGTTTTATAACAAGCGAGGAAATTTAAATTATCTTCAAGTTTCGACCTGAATAATTTTTCGTAAAGATTAATAGATTTTTAAATAGATACCTTGATCTGACATTTTAACTTAAATATAACTTTTATTCTTCAAAGTGAATTTAATTAATATATCTTTAACCTCAATATATGTTAGTAAAGATAACTTAATTAATTCACCTTAACTACCATAGTATTTATTATAGCTGTTATTATAAAATTTACTTAAGGCAAAATGCCATTGATTGTCTTAACAAAGTTTGTAGAGGATGATTATTCAGTTCTATTGGTTGTAAAATCAGTTTCATAGATAAAACAGTATCTAATCTAATTGAATAATTTGAATATTTATTAAAATTATTCATTACATTAGTTCTTGTTGATTCTGTTTATGCCTTTAATTTTTTTCTCAACCAATATTTTTTACATAAAAAAAAATAAATAATAAAATAGTTCTATTGTACGTAAGGTAGATTATGTAAAAAGTTTACTAATTAGATAAATTGTAACTTGTTCATTGAATTAAGTCACCAACTATTATACTCTAGTTTGCTTTAAAATATACTCTAAGTGATCACCTTATACATATTGTTACAAGTGGATTTATACAGCATTCTTCAAGGCTTCTCGCCAGAGTTGTGACGTTAGTGATTTGGGGTCATTAACTCTATGTGCTCATACTTCGCACATAAAAGTCATAATCAACCTCTGTTGCTGTTACGTCTTTTAAATAGTTTGCCTGATACGATTTAATTATATGATATTGTCGCGTTATTTCTTAGGGATTGGTTCAAATAACTTGTATATAAGCTGTGTCGATGCTTAGGTGGTCTATTTATGAAAACTTTCCAATTTTATAACAATTAGCTTTCTGATTCTATGATATATATTTAACTTTAACACAGAAAACCTAATTTTTATTATTCTTCAGAGTTAATAAGCCATACTTTGTTAACTTTTTGTTTTAAATTTATACAAATTTTAAATATATACTGTATATGTGTAGTACTATGACTTTCTTTTCATAATTTAAAAAAAGAAATAATTATTTATGGTTAACAGTCTAGATATAAAATTTACCTTAACAATAATTTAGATAAATCAGACAAAATTCGCGATCAGGTAATTTTCGAACCTCACCAAAATTTTACAAGTAAAAATTTTGTAGGGTTAGAAAGTGTTAATTATACTAGAATCTTGCAAGGAAAATTTTTTATTAGTGCGCAGAAGGCACTTTAATAGCGATAGGTTAAATTTAGAGTTATGAGTGATTTTTTATTTTTGTAGATTTTTACGTTACACCTGATCTTGAAATTTAATTGGTTAGTGGGTTCAGAAATCACCTGATCGCGAATTTTTTCCAATTAGATGCTTGAGAAAGTTTGAAATATGATAGTGTTTTATTAATCTTACAATTACACTATAAAATGTAAAACTACTTAATCTTTTAGATAATGGCCAGAAAATTTGAAATGTTCAAAATTTAGTTTAATCGCGTATAATTAATTTTCTATCGCTATAATCTATACCTAAAAATTGACGTAAATAGAATAAATAACTTTTTACTAATGCTTTTGCATTTTACATTCTATGACCAAAATTTTAAAATCAGGTCGTAGAACGTAAAATGCAAAAAAGCATTAATAAGAAATTATTTATTCTATTTGCCTTAACTTTTAGGGACGGAGATACAGTAGATAAATAGATCATATTTCTAATTATTATAACTTAAGTTAAATATTTAAATTAAAGTTACAGGCATTATTAATGAATAATATAAGTTAAGCTGTTTGTAATTTGAAAATAATGATTAGTAAAATAATAGTATTTATCTGCTATAGTTATCTATTTATCAAAGTATAAATTTCTATATAACCTATGTAATAAAACCTTGTTAGCTAACAAAAGAAGTTACTCGGATTTTGGTGAAATTTACTAAACTTAAAGAATTATACGTATTAAACATTTTATATTTACTGGTAATAGTGATAGTAAAATGTCAAAAAAAAAACAATTTATTCATATATCATATATGTAAAATAAATAAATTTTTAGATTTTATGTACAGCTAAATGAACGAATAATTTATTGTTATATATATATTAATCATTCTCTTATCGTATTGTTGTGTAATAATGCGTAGGTGCGTTATTTATAATTATGGCCAAAATTAAGCTTAATTTAGGCCAAATTCTTAATTTTACTCTTGCGCGTTATTACACGACAATACGTTATCTGGTAAGTTGTAAATATAATAGCTAAACTAATATAAATATTCCAATAATTTTAATAACAGTTTCATAAATATTTTTGACAGTCATAATTTGGAAATCAATTCACAACCCCAAGATTTCAGAATAAATTTATCTCTATTTGCAAAAAGATGTGATTCTAGGATTTTTGTGATGATTTGAGGAAATTTTTAACAGAGAATCTAATAAGAGAATTTTTTTTTCTCTCTACTGCTATAGCAGTTAGAGGCATAGTTGGCACTTTTTTATTATGAAATTATAAATAAACTATAACTATATACATTTTAAATATTTATATAAAGCTCTATTAGCTTTAGACTTGTTATTAGAAGTGTAAAATTTTAAGGTTTAGATTTCTCTTGAAATACAACCTTTAATTTATGAACTAAGTGATTCTAAAGGTATATTTGTGTTTTCCTATTTTAGAGAGGTATATTAATACTAAATCTTATAGATTGTATTCATATGTAGTCAGATAATAGTAGTAGAAGTTTGAGAGTTATGAATATTCAAGGCTTGAAAAATATGTTCTAGTGAAATAAGTAGATGTTTTTTTTTATTGATATTAAGAAATTTATAAGCTTCTTTTAAGATAATTATACTTCTAAAGCAGTTGATAGCAAAGTGTTCAAGAGTTTGAAGCTTGTCAGAGCATCATATATAGTTACCTGTTTCTAAGAAATCTATATACTTGAGTCAATAGTCTAAAGGAAGGGCTCTATGAAAGAGTATCAAACATATCTTTTTTCTTATTACATATAGACTTAGTTGATAACTAAGAAGGTTGTATAGCTTGAAGAGAAGTATGAAGAGAAATTAGTAGAGAGATAGTTTTTTTCAAAATTTCTAAGATTTTTTTAATTGAGAGTTTATTTCTTTTAATCTTATTAATTAAGATTTCTTCTTTACTCCAAGGTCAGTTAGATGAGGAAAGAGCTTTGCTCTTAATTTTTATCTAAGCTACAAGGTAAAGCTTCTATTCTAAAGCTAAGTTTTAGTACATAGATTATTAGAACTAAGAGTAGCTATAGGTAAGATATTTTTTTGTTTCTAAGAATAGAAGCAATTTTGTCTCTTTTGAAAAAGGCTCATATAAAGTTTGAGATAAGAAGTTTTATCTATACTGAAATAAGATGAGCATCTAGTATATCATTGATAACAGAGACTTGAAGACATACAAGCTTTTCTGGCTACTGAAAAGTGAAATATTTGAAGAGCATATATGATATATCTTTAACTCAAAAGGAAATAATTTAATTTATTTCTGCAGTTTATTTTCTGTTCAGAAGTAGTAAGTAGACTGAATACTAGACTTTAAAAAAGATAAGAAACTTAGAAACTAGGATTTTCTCTTTAAAAAAAAGGTTTCTATTTGAAAGCTTATCAAGAGAATTCTTAAGACAGTTAATAGCTGTAGTCTAAAGATCCTTTTTATTAATAAGAATCTTGTAGCTAAGAATAGTAATAGAGTCATCTTTACTAAACTTAATAAATTAATTTTCATTAAGAAGTTTAACTCTTTAAACTATAGAAGTAAGAGGAACAAGCTTTGTTTTTGTTTTATTAATTTTTGCATTAGAAGCTACTTCATATAAACTTAAAGAAGATAATACTATATCCTAATTTAAAAGAAAACTAAGTTCTATAATAAGATCATTAATATATATAGAGACCTTGAAGGATAGATTTTTTAATTTAACTCTGTGAAGTTGATTTTTTAAGCTTCTTATTAAAGGTTCAAAAGCTAGAATATAAAGAAAAAGTGAGAGAGGATCTTCCTATTTTACTCCTCTTTCAACTCTAAATGGTTTAGAAATATTTTCTGTATTGATAATATATGCTTCCTAATTAGAGAAGAGGTTATAAACTAGGCTAATAAAGCTATTATCAAAATTTATATTCTTAAAAGTAAGTTCTAAAAAATTGTAGCTAACTAGTCAAAAGCTTTTGTTGATCTACAAAAAGAAGCTAATTCTGTTTAGAGAGGTTAGGTTAGTTTTTCATAGTAGTAATTATATTAAGAGTAGTATCTGTAATAGATCTGTTTTTGATAAAACTTTATTGTTAATAAAATACAAGTTTCTCACAAATCTGGTTAAGACAATTTGCTATAATCTTCATAAAGATTTTTGCATCACTATTCACTAAAGAAATAGGTCTCCAATTGTTGACATTCTCAAAATCAAGTTCTTTCTTTAGAATTAATAAGATTAGGCTCTTGTACTATAAAGTAGACATAGTTTCTAAGGAATATGCTTAGTTAAAAACTTTAAAGAAGACTAGAGTTATAGTTTCTTCTTTAAGTTTGTAAAACTTATAGATAAGACTATCAGTATTAGAAGCTTTGTTGTTAGAAAGTTTTCTAATTATATTACTAATTTCATCTTGAAAATTTTTTTTAGTAAGAAGTAAGTTATGTATTGAAAAAACTTAAGTTAAATTTTTCATAATTTTTTTAGCTATTTCTAAATTAATATCTTCTTTTTTGTAATTTTAGTATATTTGTCTCTGATAAACTTTAAAGTATTTTCTTAAGATTGTATCAGAAGCTTCAGAATCTTTAATATTTTTTAAGGCTGAGTGAGCTTTTTTGATATTATATCTAGAGTAGAAATATTTTAATTTTTCTCCTTGTTCAATCTATTTTGCTTTAGATCTGATTTACTATTTTTTAACAAAGTTTATAAGTTCTTCTTGAAGATCTAAGATAAGTCTATTAATCTAAGTATTGAGAAAAAGGTTTTCTAAGTTATAAGCAAGCCTTTCTTTTAGAAAAATAATATTTTTGTTTAGCTTTACAATTTTGCTTTCTAAAGCTTTTAGTTTTCTAAAAGCTCTAATTATAGATTATAGTTAATTTTGCAGAAATCCTAATTTTTAGCTTCATTAAACTCTAAGATCTTATCAAGTACTTCTTTTTTTAGATATTCATTTTTAAAACAGTCTTTGTTGAATCTTCAAAGAGCTGATTTTTTATTTTTAGACCTAAAGGAAAAAGTATATTCTACTAGAAGATAATCAGAGTTATCAAATTTTGTATTAATTTATAAGACAAGGTGAGTATTATTTTTATCAATAAAGATACAATATAATTAAGATATGTAGCCATAGTA